TTTTGATAGATGAAGAGGCAAGACCATAACTAAATAATTTTTCAATAGAAGACAATTTAGATAAATATTATAGGGCATGCAAAATATACATATACAAAATCTACATCCAACTTCATTAAATAGGGAATGCATTTATTTAAAATATAATACTATATTAATTTAAAATGTTAAAACAAAATATGTAAATATATGAAAATTATAAATTATAAATAAATGAAAATTATAAAGGATAATAAAAGTGATAGGCAAATAATGGAAAATTGTAAATAATAAAAATAATTGGTGAATAAATGTGGTAGATGACGCTAGATGAGACAACATTATCTTAATATAAAAAATCAAAGTTTTAAATATTTAAAAACTCTTAAATGAAGAAAATGAAGAGTTAATGTTTAAATGTATAAATGCATACCCTCCTATGATCTTTGATGACAGCTTGTTTTCATGATTTTTCTATATGCCCTTCCATCTTCTTTTCCTTCCATCTTCCTCCCCACCTCTAGTCGTTAGTTACTTTCTTTATACCGATATATCATATTCTCTTCTTCATCTTTACAATTTATTTTTACTAATATGATGAGTTCCAAATATTTTCCCTTTTGTTTTCCATGTTTCATATTGTAACTAAATATAATATTTTGTTTTCATTTTCTTGTGCCTTTTTTCTCTTTGTCCAAAATATGTATATTGTTGTATAAAATAAGGATTACGATTCTTTTTTTATGAACCTTTTACAAAACATATGATGTTGTTCTTTTAAAAAAATTTTGTAATTTTATCTATTTAAAATTTATGCATTCTTTTCTTTATAGACTATTTATGGATATTTTTTTTTTTATGTTAAAAAGAGAATTTCACTCATGAGATTGGAGTCAATTAGAGCAATAAAAGTGTTGATTCATACATTAAATTGAGCAAGAAATGTATGAATTTGATAGAAATCAAATCATATGAAAATATTATATTTTTTTTGTTTTTACAGGAAGATTTTATGTTTCTTATTTTATTCATATTATATTATCATTAACTTTTTAGTCCTTAAATATAAATTCTACTTCACATTTCTTCTAAATTGTATATGCACCCAATATTATTGCCACATATATTTGGAAATATGCATCCAATTGCAGTAAAATCTCATTTTTTTTTTTTTTTTTTGGTACCTTTGATTTGAGTACTTATATTAACATATCAAAATAGTTTGCGATACAAGTTAAGGAAGATAATAGGAAGGGAAAAAAAATGACAAGAAATTGGAAATGATAGAAGGGATAAGAAAAAAACCATAAAATAAAATTTTGCAAGTTAAGCAATTGTAGAAGAAAGAATTAGTAAAGACTTATGTGAAAAAAAAAAAAGAAGAATTATTAAGTACTTTTTTATTTTATAATACTTTTTGTAGATCTTGCATATTAAAAATAACTATGTTTTGTTTTGTTATTAAAATAATAGTTGATACTTTTTAACTTCAATTTTTAAGGATTATGAATTTGATTAAATAAGGATTAAAAATAACTAAAGAAGATGGAAAAAAATAATAATAAAAGTATGAGGTAAAAATTATTTGATTATTCAATTAACAATTAATAAAGTTTATAGTAAAGAAGAAAATAAAAATGCTACCCTATGTATAAAGAAAATCTATATATCCAATAATGAATAATACATGTATAGATATTTTATAAAATACTATGTTTAATAATTAAATAGGTGATGAGCTGAATTTATATAAATATTAATGTCAAATTATTGTCTTAATTGTCACGCCCTAGAACCCGAATCCGGGAACGTGGCAGACGCCGTGCCCTCATGAGACGGGTCCCACAAGTGCACAAGGCTCGGAACTTATTCAAATCACAACATCTCAAGAATAAAATCTAAAACTTATATCCAATAAAAATGGCTAGCCTTCTACCTCGTCACTCCCCGTGGCTTTCCCGTCCTCAATTTCACTTCCTGAAATGGTGAACAAGAAAACTAAGATAACTCAGTAAGTAAATATGGATAGCCCTTGAGTAAAATTTTAGCATGCTTGATAAACAGTTTAACAGAACAAAACGTTCAATGCAAAATCAGATTCAGTTCAATAATAAAGCGTGTAATGACAAAACCGTTAATGTAGAAGAAACTTCAGTAGTAGTCTCATCTATAGGTCATGGCCAGCATTTATAAACCTCCCACTGGCAAGCATAATAGTAGTACCAGTGTTTAACAACTCCCACTGGCAAGCGTCAGTAATAACCAATGTTTAACCCCATTGGCAGGGTTATAGAAGTACCAGTGTTTAACAAACTCCCACTGGCAAGCATCAATAATGGTACCAATGTTTAACAAACTCTCACTGGCATGCGTCAATAATTACCAATGTATTATCCCATTGGCAGGATTACAGAATGGACCGGTCATATCAGTAAACATGTCGACATGTGCTAGTGTTTATAAACCTCCCACTAGCGGGCACAGGCACAGTAATACATGACCATATTAGAGACAAAACCATGTAGGATTTACAAAAGAAATCTGTAATTCACAATCAAATCTCAAAATTTCAGAAATAAACCGGAAAATTTTAGTGGGCATGCTCAACTTTAGAAAAACAATGAAATTCTCATTTTCATTCCAATCATGCTCAATTCCAGAAAAAACAATGAAATTCCCATTTTCATTCCAATCATGCTTAATTCCAAAAAAACAATGAAATTCTCATTTTCATTCCAATCATGCTCAATTCCAAAAAAACAATGATTTTTATAAAATCATTACAATTTTCATTTTAGTTTAATCACACTCAGATGCTGATAAAATCAATTTAAACCTTGCCACCATCTAAAAAACAATTTAAAACATGCTTTTAAATCGAAAGGCATTACCATAATTTACTTACCTCACTCGCATAAAACAGAAAACTCGATCTCAGTGCTAAACTAACAGAACGATCAAGAATCTAATTAAAATATCCAAAAATTAATACCTCACTACCACAATTTCAAAGTGAAATCATCATTAGCACTATCCCTAATCACGGTGCTATTTCTATCAATCTCTACATGATCAGACATCTCCAAATTTGTTTTTATATTACAAACTAAACATTTAAATCCCCGTTAATTGTTAACCCTCGGTGTGTGAACAGTGTCCATAAACATTACCCGTGAACAGTACTGCAACATCCAAAAATTAGCAAAATCATAGCTAATCTCACGGGATTTTCACACAAAACATCACAGCAATCAATTAACACTCAATCACATAAATTCCTTTTGAATTAATGCTTAAATTTTGTCCTAAAGCTACCGGAGTTCCTCCCATTTTTCCAGCAAAATTCGGACAACATAGGCAACAATCAATTGATGAAATTCAAGCTTGGAGGAGCTGTCAACATACCAGAATTCCCCCAGCAAAAATTGGACTGCAGTTTGGGGGAAGGGCCAACGGGATCTGCAGGGAAACTCATGGAAATCTACCCAAAAATTGGAGGAAATAAAAGCAATTAAAGTAAACCCAGCCTAAATCAAGGTTAAAGAGATGATTTCTTGGCTGAATCTTACCAAAAAAACCAGAGCAATTCGCACCCCCATACAGCAGAGCAGCAGCCGGAAGTAGCAGAGTAGAGTAGATCCGGAATTTTGTAGATGGGGGAAGGATTTCTGGGTTCTATGCTTGTTATTTAACAAGAGAAGAAGAAGAAATTTCAAGTTTTTGCCGAGTTTCTCCAGGGGAACTATCAGCAGCTTGGGGGGGGCTTGTCGGGGAAGAAGAAGAGAAGCAGAAACACGCGGCTGATGAGGAAGAAAAGAAAGAAAGAAAAAGAGAAAAAGAAAAGAAGCTGATCCTTATCTCATTCCCTTTCTTTTAAGTCCCTCAAATTTTGAAATTTGACTATTAAGCCTCAAAACACTATTTTTCCTCAAATAAGTCCCTTACTTAATGCTAAAATATCACCAAATTTTGGGATATTACATTAATATTATTGATATTTGGATAAGTTTTATGAGATTTTACTTGATTTTACATAACTTTCATTCTACATGTAGAAAAGGATTTAATTAAAAGAAATCATAATTCATAGGAGCAAACTATAGAGATAAAAAAGCTGAGGATTAAGTTGTGCGTAGTTCAGAGGTTAGGGACCAAAACTGTCATTTTACCATTAATAGAAATGGCTTAGAAGGCCAAAAACCTGACACGGTGATTTGATTTCGCGCTTAACAGAAGGTGTCGGTACATAGTTGAAGGTGTTGGCTCCTTATGCGATTTTCAAAAAATCCATACCTAACTTATTATTTTGGTGTGGATTCCACTTCTATTTCAATTAGGGTTTTTAAAATCTTATAAATATCCATCTAAATTCAAAATTGAGAGAGCTTTTAGAGGCTAGTGGCAGTTCTCTTTTGGGCACTCATAAAAATCAAGATAGAGAATTCATCAACAATAAAAGATCAATGATTTCAACTACCTTAAATTAGATCTTGTTTTTCCTTAGACATTCTTATGTTCATAATTATGATTTCAAATTTTATTGCTTTTATTGTGAACTAATTTACTCTACTATGGTAACGATGTAGCCTAATCAATTTAATAAAGATTTTGTGATTTTTATACTTTCACTTAAAGTTATTCGCATGATAAGTTTACATTATTGAACTTAATGCATTGAAAGTCTATCACCTTTCAATTGATATAGTGATTTATGCATGAACTTGAGAAATAATTGCATAGATTATATTAATAATAATATAAACCATGTGTTAAACTATGAGACCGTGAGATAATTAGCGTCACATGTGACAGTAAAGGAAGAGAATAGAGTTACGAACTCTCCCTTCTTAAGCTAGAGGTTTTCATAGAATTTAATACTCATTAATTTGTTTAAAATTACATAGAGATATGATTAATTTAACAAACAAGTGAAGGATTAACTTGGCTTGAAAAAGTTAGTTAGTTAATTTAGAAAAATCCGCCATCACATGCAATAGCACTCAACAAATAAGTTTTGGAAGCATATTAATTATGATTTATATTGATTGATTATGGTGAAATTGATGCCTTAATACCTCATATCTTGATTAGCATTATTTTATTTGTTGTTTTCTTTTTATTAATTTTAATTAAAGTTTCTTTATTTTTGATTGTTCAAATAAATTTAGATTAATTATTTTTTATACTTGGTTAATTAAAATCCTCGTGGGTTCATTATTATATTATTTGGAACGACTAGTATACTTCTTAAAGTGATTTTAGCGTAACAAGTTTTTGGCGCTATTGTCGGGGATTGTTGATTTAATTAATATCAAAATTGGTTAATTCTAGATTTAATTTGAACATTTTCTTCTTTTTTTTTTATTTCTTTACTTTGAATTTTTTTATTTCTTTTGTTTTTGTTTTTGTAGGTTTAACTATAGATCGAGTTGTCATAGGCACTGATATGAATTATCAATGTCTTGCTCCAAAGTTAAGGCACAAGTTGAATCAATAATTATCAATTGGGAAGTAGAAATGGACAATGATGAACTTGAAGGATTTCAAGTAGTCATTGAAAAATTCAAACTAAAGAAGACTATAATAAAACAATTTAATATTACTTGTTGATGGTGTGAATTAAAGCATTTTAGTTCTAATTGCTATTTTAAACCATCTAACAAACATGCTGATTTTTCTTATGATTTTTATAACCAGTAGTGTAATTCTTATCCTAACACATGTAACTTTGATTGGATAAATTATCCAAACTCCTCATGGAATAATGAAGATATATTGTAGGCACAATCAAGGTTTCAAGCTCAAGAAGAGGAGAGATGTTTAGATAGAAATTTGAAGTTCAATCAAGTCATTCGCTCAACTTAATTGCTAAAAAAATATAAGGTGAGTTGCTTAGTGCAACAATGAAAAATCAAGAAGAAGAGGTAAACACTTTATCCTTGGAGATTGAAGGACAACTTGGAGAAGTTGAAGCATACCTGCAAAAACTAAACAAGAGGATGTCCCTAAGGAACAAGAGGAAAAAACTCAAATGTCATTTGAAATGTTCAATGGGGAATCTCCATTAACCAAATCTAATTTTAATGATTATTTTGTTATTGATATGGTTGATGAGATTTTGTGGGAAAACACTTATGATGATCCATTTGAGATTTATTTTATTCAAGCAAATGACCCAATCAAAATATACATAAATTGTTTGAACACATCCTCATCTTACTTGGAATCAAAGGGGGCAATCTTAGAAGAATTGGGAAGGCATATCTCTTAGATTAAACCCAAACCACCACAAAATAGCCATTGTAAAAAATCTTATGATGGATTCAATCGGATTCAATTTAAGGGCAAAAAAGCCAAGATTCAAGAAAATGAGAAGACATGCCCTATGACCTGATCCAAAACTACCTTGGAGTGGTAGAAAGTCTAGCTAATGACTATAAATGAAGCGCTTCTTGGGAGGCAACCAAGCATAATTTTTTTTTTCTTTTATTTCTTTGTCTTTTATTTTAATAGTTTAGATTTTTTACTATTATTATTTTTTCCTTATGGCCTAGGTTAATGCATAAATGGTTGCTCTTTGATTTTGGCTAGGTCATTGAACAAATTTGGGGGACAAGATTATGGAAATTCACATGCTAGAAGTCTCCCCTGATTGAAGACAATTCAACTTTAGAACTTAAATTTTAAGTCTTCAAGTGCAAAACCTAGGAAGTCTCTCTTTTCTTTTACTTTTATTTTACATTGAGGACAATGTTTAATTTAAGTTTGGGGGAGAGAATAACCTTTAGGTGTCCATTCTTACATTAGTTTGCATTCATATTTACATGAAATATTTTTATTTTTTATTTTTAGAAATGAGGGTTTTTTTTTTTTAGAAGTTGGTCCAATTAGTGTCAAGGAATTAAATATTCTTGAGTTAAAAATTCAAAAACTTCTAAAATCTTTGAATCTTAGAGGAGATACAAAATCTGAAAAGTAGCATCATTGTGATGAAGTTTAAGTTAATGGGTATTATATTTCACTTGAGCACAAGTTGTACTGAGAACTTTAGAGAGAAGACTTAGTAGCACCTAAAAAGCATAAAAAAGAAAAGAAAAGAAAAAGAAGCCAACACACAAAAGAATTTGTTAATTTTTACTCCAATGTTTCTAGTTACCTAGTAATTGGGGGTTAGGCATGAGACTCATGTCAACTTTCATGTCCAATGGTGACTTGAAATATGACTATACAAAGCATTTTGAGTTTATGACTTGTTGAGTAATCGAGTGCTTTCATCACAAATATTAGTATTCATATCAAAAGACAAGTGATAGCTTTGGGAAGAATGTGTTGTATGGCTGAAAAAAAAAAAGAAAAAAAAAGAAAAAAAAAAAAAGAAGTTGAATGTTTCGTGGCCTTTGTTCTTGAGTAAGTATGTTCTTAAAGGTGTCTCTTCACCTAATGCCCTAAAGCCAACTAGTTTGGGAGCTATTGGCAAAAAGCTCATTAAATGGGTAACTTAGAAAGCCTAAGAAAACTCGACACAAAAAGAAAAAGAAAAAATAAAAAAATAATAATAAGTGCTAAAGTGTGAAGGTTTAAACTTGAAACTTCTTACTAGAAATTTTCACACGCACACTAAGTGCTCATGAGCTAAATCTTTTGACAAGTGATGTGAAGAATAGGATGAAGTATTTGACTTTAAGTGAGTATATTAGAACTCTTGAATATTTGAGACTTTGTATCTAATTAAACTTTAATTCCTAAATTTTTCTTGCATGCATATTATATAGTTGCATTCTTACATTGGGATTTTGTGGGTAGATGATGGGAATCAAGATAACCCCACATGTACCACGTCAAGAGATTCATTACATATTCCACGTCAAGAGATTCATTACATATTCCAAGAGGTCCAATCATGAGAGTTAAAGTTAGAAAGAAGCGAGAAGCTTTAAATGGCCTTATTGAGCAGGTCTGGGTTAATAATAACATGCAACAAGTAAATCGAAGCTTGGATGATTATTATCAAGGCATGGTGTCATGCCCCAAAACCCGAATTTGAGGCGCGACAGACGTCGTGCACTCGTGATAGGGTCCCACAAATGCACAAGGTTTGGAACTTATCATATCATAATCTGATACCACAAAATCTGAAGATAAAATCTTAAAATCTGCTCTGATATCATAAAATCTCCAAATACACTCTAGTTTACAAGATTATGATTTATATCTAAAATCTATGTCAATCTCGAAATGGCTAGCCTTCTAACTCGTCACTTCCCGTGGTTTCCCTGTCCTCAGTTTCACTTCCTGAAATGGTGGACAAGGAAAAACTATGAGATAAACTCAATAAGTAAAATATGGATAGTCCTTAATTAAACTTATAGCATGCCAACAAGTATAATCCCGAAAAACAGATACGAGTACGGGCATGAAATAGACATCTCCTCTATAGGTCATGGCCAGTGTTATAAACCTCCCACTGGCAAGCACACGATTTACTAGTGTATAATCCCACTAGCAGAATAACAGAAACAAACCGGTTCTATCAGTAACATGTCGACATGTGCTAGCGTTTATAAACCTCCCGCTAGCGTTTATAAACCTCCCACTAGCGGGCACACGAATAACATGACTATATGGGAGACAAAACAGGCAGAAATTAACAGAAAAATCATAATTCACAATCACTTCAAGATCATCAGGACAGTCAATTAAATTCCAAGTAGGCATGCTCAATTTAATGAAAAGCATAGAAATTTACTTCGAATCAATCATACTTACTTTTGCATAAAACGGGTTTAGTCCCACCAC